TATTGATTATAAATATTTCGTTCTATGTTCTTCAAGTCCATAGCTTCAAGAAGGGAATAGAGCACCTATAGTGGCTCTTTGATAACTTGACCTTTTAAGAATTCCTTTCTGTTTCTATTGTCTTCTCTTAAAGTCCCAACATGGTTCTTCCTCTTCCTCCTGCAGGGCCATCTCTGCTGCCAACCTGCACCTGAGGACCAATCACATCTACGTGTCGTCTGATGACATCAAGGAGACAGGCTACACCTACATCCTGCCCAAGAACGTCCTCAAGAAGTTCATCTGCATCTCAGACCTGCGTGCCCAGGTCAGTACCGGAGCCTACGCTTTATCCTCTCCTAGTTGTCTCTCTGCTTGTGACCCTTGTTGTGGTAAAATGCCTACCATGATGCTAAAACAGTCTAATCACTCTACCTTCATCTCTTTCAACATCTCATTATAGATATTCTTGTAATTCTCTTTATATAATTTATATATAACTGCTTATATAGATAGAACAGGACAATTTGGTCTTAGAGTACAATCAATCCTGTCTATTGTATAGTTTTTTTAAAATATGTAAATCTGAATGTGTGTGTTTCTGACGTGTGCATCCCCTCTGTCTTCAGATTGCAGGTTACCTGTACGGCACCAGTCCCCCTGACAACCCTCAGGTGAAAGAGATCAGGTGTATCGTCATGGTACCCCAGTGGGGAACTCATCAGACCGTCCACCTACCCAATCAGCTGCCTGGACACGAGTACCTCAAGGTACGGACTTAGGGGATACCGGACACACACAAGCATATAACACGATTTGATGCCATGTGATGCATGTTGTTTACTGGATCATGTCTCAGTATGTGTTATGCCCCGATCATGGCTCATTTCCTTGTGTTTTTATGTATGCCGTAGCCTTTGAAATTGGAAGCGTTCAGTTCCTGATCGGGGCAGAACACACACATACCCCTCTGCTTCCCCTGTGTCTCACCTCTTCTCTACCTCCTACAGGAGATGGAGCCCCTGGGTTGGATCCACACCCAGCCCAACGAGTCTCCCCAGCTCTCCCCCCAGGACGTCACCAGCCACGCCAAGATCATGGCTGACAACCCCGCATGGGACGGGGAGAAGACCATTATAATCACCTGCAGGTAGGACAGATACTTTTGTACTTGCTTTTTCTTAACTCTTACCAGCAGTGATTTTGCATATAGCTGCTAATTTGAGAAAGGTTTTACTTGATGACAGACAGGGCCAACAGCGGTTTTAGAGGGCATTATTGTATGTTGGTTGGTGTGACCAACTGGGTTTGAAGACAGGCTGTCTACTCGTCACTAGACTGGGTTAGCCTGCTGCGCTAAGGCCTTCAGGACTGGTGCAAGGTTATTCATCACACAAGTCTAGTTCACCGTCCCAACCACCCCAGCTACATTTGTTAACATTGATCAAGTCCACCTATACATGCATCACTCTTAACATTTCAAGTTGCATCATGTACATCAACGCTAACTACAGTATAACATCTTTATTCATTTCCAGTTTCACTCCCGGCTCCTGCACTCTGACGGCCTACAAGCTGACTCCCAGTGGGATACGAGTGGGGCAGACAGAACACAGACAAGGGCAACAACCCCAAGGGCTACCTGCCCTCCCACTATGAGAGGGTTCAGATGCTTCTGTCTGATCGCTTCCTGGGCTTCTTCATGGTGCCTGGACAGGTCTCCTGGAACTACAACTTCATGGGTGAGTAGTGCATAGAACACGGGATTCTCTGCTTTGCAAGCCTAAGCCTACACTGCTTGGCGGGCGGATTTCGAAGACACAGATTAAACCTATTCCTAGACTAAAAAGCATGCTAAATGGAGAATCTTGTATAATGGCTTACCTCTGTTATCAGTGTCTTCAAATCTTAGTGTATTTGAAACCAATAAATTCAACATCAGTGTAACATCAGGGAAATAAGCATATTAGGAAAAGTATCATTTTACAACCACCTGCTTGCAGTGTGTTTGATCGTCAGCATACACTACATGACCATTATATTATTTTTATGACCAAAAGTATGTGGACACCTGCTTGTCGAACATCTCATTCCAAAATCATGGGCATTAATATGGAGACGGTCCCCCCTTTGCTGCTATAACAGCCTCCACTCTTCTGGGAAGGCTTTCCACTAGATGTTGGAACATTGCTGTGGGGACTTGCTTCCATTCAGCCAGAAGAGCATTAGTGAGGTCGGGCACTGATGTTGGGCGATTAGGCCTGGCTCGCAGTCGGCATTCCAATTCCCCCCAAAGGTGTTTGAGGTCAGGGCTCTGTGCAGGCCAGTCAAGTTCTTCCACACCGATCTCGACAAACCATTTCTGTATGGACCTCGCTTTGTACTCGGGGGCATTGTCATGCTGAAACAGGAAAGGGCCTTCCCCAAACTGTTGCCACAAAGTTGGAAGCACAGAATCGTCTAGAATGTCACTGTATGCTGTAGCGTTAAGATTTCCCTTCACTGGAACTAAGGGGCCTTGCAGGAACCATGAAAAAGAGCCTCAGACCATGATTCCTCCTCCACCAAACTTTACAGTTGTCACTATGCATTCGGCAGGTAGCGTTCTCCTGGCATCCGCCAAACCCAGATTAGTCCGTCGGTCTGCCAGATGGTGAAGCGTGATTCATCACTCCAGACGACGCTTGGCATTGCGCATGGTGATCTTAGGCTTGTGTGCGGCTGCTCGACCATGGAAATCCATTTCATGAAACTACCGGCGAACAGTTCTTGTGCTGACGTTGCTTCCAGAGGCAGTTTGGAACTGGGTAGTAAGTGTTGCAACCGAGGACAGAATTGATATGCGCTTCAGCACTCGGCGGTCCCATTCTGTGAGTTTGTGTGGCCTACCACTTCGCGGCTGAGCCGTTGTTGCTCCTAGATGTTTCCACTTCACAACAACAGCACTTACAGTTGACCGGGGGGCAGCTCTAGTAGGGCAGAAAGTTGACAAACTGACTTGTTGGAAAGGTCGCATCCTATGACGGTGCCACGTTGAAAGTCACTAAGCTCTTCAGTACGGGCCATTCTACTGCCAATGTTTGTCTATAGAGATTGCAAGGCTGTTTGCTTGGTTTTATGCACCTGCCAGCAACGGGTGTGGCTGAAATAGCCGAATCCACTAATATGAAGGGGTGTCCACAAATCTTTGGTAATGTAGTGCATCTCAATAATACATCCTCCTCTTCTCTTTCAGGTGTTCGCCACGACCCCAACATGAAGTATGACCTGCAGCTGTCCAACCCCAAGGAGTTCTACCACGAGGTCCATCGGCCCTCTCACTTCCTCAACTTCGCCTCCCTGCAGGAGGGAGAGATCTACAACGCAGACAGAGAGGACATGTACGGTTGAGACTGGCACTCCGCTCAGCGATTAGAGGATTACACCTCTATTGTAGACATTCTATGACATGGAAATCCTTATGCGGCCCTGTCTAGTACAGTCAGACGTATCATTTGGCCCAGCCAGTTGTGAAGTTATGAACATAACTACTGCTCCCTGGAGGGAAACGAGGTACAGCACAGCTTGGCAATCTCCATAGCTGTGATGGACCAAGTGTACCAACTTATAGGGATGGCCTGAAGATGAATTGTTTGTTCGAATTGGTTGCCCTCTCCCCTCAGATCTCTCCAATAAGGCTTCAGCATGTGAATTCTACTGCGTTTCATTTGTCTTTCCTTTTGACACGTTGTTGCGAATGTGTACCGGTATTTGTGTCTGTCTTCAGTCTGTAGTAGTTGATATAGCTGTAAGATTCATTTTTGTGGCATTTCTTTAATCATATTCATAATGCTCTTTTTTTCTCCCATAGAAACTGAATTGTCATTGAAAATTGAATTGATATGTTCTGTGTTTTTTACGCTAGCATTCTATTACACTTTCTATGTTGTGTATTCATTGTGGACTCTGTAGTTTGGGTTTAAATAAAGATCGACGTTTTATAAGTATTTGCCCTTGTTTGGTTGTCTGTCAGTTTGTGTGTGAGTGCAGTGATCATGTATTTTGTGAATAGCACTGTCATATAACAAGGACACACCACATATACAGACTGCCATGGTACTTAACATGATGTATGCAGTCAAACTAACTGGTGGTGGCTCAGCTGGAAGAGATGGGACAGGGCCCAAGCTGTGGCCAAAGACCACAACAGGTAGCTTAGTGGTTAAGAGCGTTGTGCCAGTAACCGAAAGGTCGCTGGTTCTAATCCCCGAGCCGACTAGGTGAAAAATCTGTCGATGTGCTCTTGAGCAAGGCACTAAACCCTAATTGCTCCTGTAAATCGCTCTGGATAAGAGCGTATGCTAAATGACAAAAAAAAAGACAGATATACAGTAAGTTTTTTGCGGCCTTATGTCTCATCAAGGTGGAAGAGGACTAAGAACGTACTCTTTATTTCTTTTTTTTCTTTTTTTAACCCTGCTTTCCAAACTGATTGTCATGTCAATGAAGGAAATGTGGGTGTGTCCTTTTGATTGTATTTGATCTATTTAGTTTGTTCTATTCTGATACCTATTCCGACTGTTAAACAACAGTACAGCATCCTCGATCGTTTCCCATGCCGTCAGAGGAAATCCAATTTGTATGCTCGGACTGTCTAATGCATAACTGTACGGTCGACCTAGCATACCAGTGTAACAGTACGCTATGTTATGTGGTTCTAGAAGAGAAGCTCACTCCTATTACATTAGTCAGGAAAGTAGGAGGGTTCTTGAATGGTAAACAAGCCGAGCAGAGAGAGGGGGCTGAAATATAGGCGTCCAGTCGACAGTACACTGTTTGATTTTAATTGGGCGTCATATTAATGTTCTAGACTAGGGGTAGGCAAAATGTGTGACGCGTCCTCGAATGAGGTTCAAATTAGAACGGGCTTGTTATAGTCAGGATGACCAAGCATGCAACTCAGTCAAATTCGAGCATAGGGTGACGAATAATGCATACCGTTTAGATGCAGCAGTATATCGCGGTGTAGATAAGACACCTGTTTATTGTGAAAACACTTTCGCTTTGCGTTTCGACTCTTTCGCGGGGGAACTGTCATTTCACGGTGAGAACATCCTTTTTATTTCTGGGTTTCGATAGTAACGTGCATGCATACTGGTGCAAACATGGAGAATGATTGCGATAGAAACGATCAAAAGCAAGACGTCAAGAAGACAGAGGGGTGTTTTGAAAGGACACGTTCAGCATTAACTGTGGATGACGTATACGAAATAGCTAAATTGATTGGCTCGGAAGTGGAAAAACTTATTGACCGCTACGGTAAAGAGAGCGTCACAGTACTGGTGCCTAAAATAGTCAAAGTTCTAGAGCTTTTGGAGAGCTTCGCCTTGCTGAACCATGCACACAAGTCAAAAGAAGAAGAATTACTTAAAGCATTCGAAACGCTACATGTACAGAAACAGAAGACGAGATCTGTGAAAGAATGCGAAGAAAGCAGCAAGTACGAAATACAGCAGGTGAGTCGATGGTAACAACATGGTAGTAACATGGGGACCGATAATCCCTCCAGTGACGTATCGTGTCAATTAGCGGATTGTAACAACACTGACGATATGTGATTTGGGGTTGCTGCTACATTGTAGCAATTAAATTGTTTTGACGGCTAGGCTACAATTTAACAACTATGCTACTCGCTGCACGTCAGTATGCCACGTTATTCATCATGCCCATTTAGTGGCAAGTGACAGCTCACCATATATATTTGGTATCTGTGTGACGTAGAGTGTAGACCTACCACTGGCAACTATTCCCCCACATAGAGAAGGCTACATTTTAATTGTATTAGTAGCCTAAACGAAATGTAGCCTGTATGTCGTTTTTGTTATGTAACATCATGGAATGGTGTGTTCAGAATGGACGCTCGTAGTGTCGTTATGATGTACCTCTTGTGTTTTTCTTGACAGATCGCTACATTTGCCACAGTATGTGAATGGTATATTTAAGCAATAAGTCCCGAGGAGGTGCGGTATATTGCCAATATATACGCCTGGACACAGCCCTTATCCGTGGTCTATTGGCCATATATCACAACCCCCTGAAGTGCCTTATTGCTATTATAAACTGGTTACCAACCTAATTAGACCAGTAAAAATACATGTTTTGTCATACCCATGGTATATGGTCTGATATACCACGGCTGTCAGCCAATCAGCATTCAGGGCTCAAACCACCCAGTTTATAATAGCTTATTTAGTAGTGCTGAGCGATTAGTGCTTTTTGAGGTGGTTCGATTATAAAACATTTATCACGGTTTTCGATTTCAGTTTCGATACAAAAAAAACAACATTAAATGCACTATGCATTACGTGGGTTGAATGCTGTAACAATGCAGAATAAAACTATCAGCAAGTCCCATGTAATGGATGATGGTCATTGTAGTTCATTATCACATTTTCTGCAATAAACTATGTAGAATATTGGCCTGTTGGCAATTACAACTCTCTAGTACATCGCACTGTTCGGGCTTGATCTGATTTATCTCTGGAGAAACTGTGCATTGTACAGTTTTTAATATAAAATAACCAAGGCTATATCTCAGTAGAATTTGGGAAATCACTGTTATCTTGTCTGTGATCTCAAAGGTCATAGATTTGATATAAGAAGAAACAGTATGTTGGTACTTCCGCTTGGCCCATATACAGTGGGGGGAAAAAGTATTTAGTCAGCCACCAATCGTGCAAGTTCTCCCACTTAAAAAGATGAGAGAGGCCTGTAATTTTCATCATAGGTACACGTCAACTATGACAGACAAAATGAGAAAAAAAATCCAGAAAATCACATTGTAGGATTTTTAATGAATTTATTTGCAAATTATGGTGGAAAATAAGTATTTGGTCACCTACAAACAAGCAAGATTTCTGGCTCTCACAGACCTGTAACTTCTTCTTTAAGAGGCTCCTCTGTCCTCCACTCGTTACCTGTATTAATGGCACCTGTTTGAACTTGTTATCAGTATAAAAGACACCTGTCCACAACCTCAAACAGTCAAACTCCAAACTCCACTATGGCCAAGACCAAAGAGCTGTCAAAGGACACCAGAAACAAAATTGTAGACCTGCACCAGGCTGGGAAGACTGAATATGCAATAGGTAAGCAGCTTGGTTTGAAGAAATCAACTGTGGGAGCAATTATTAGGAAATGGAAGACATACAAGACCACTGATAATCTCCCTCGATCTGGGGCTCCACGCAAGATCTCACCCCGTGGGGTCAAAATGATCACAAGAACGGTGAGCAAAAATCCCAGAACCACACGGGGGGACCTAGTGAATGACCTGCAGAGAGCTGGGACCAAAGTAACAAAGCCTACCATCAGTAACACACTACGCCGCCAGGGACTCAAATCCTGCAGTGCGAGACGTGTCCCCCTGCTTAAGCCAGTACATGTCCAGGCCCGTCTGAAGTTTGCTAGAGTGCATTTGGATGATCCAGAAGAGGATTGGGAGAATGTCATATGGTCAGATGAAACCAAAATATAACTTTTTGGTAAAAACTCAACTCGTCGTGTTTGGAGGACAAAGAATGCTGAGTTGCATCCAAAGAACACCATACCTACTGTGAAGCATGGGGGTGGAAACATCATGCTTTGGGGCTGTTTTTCTGCAAAGGGACCAGGACGACTGATCCGTGTAAAGGAAAGAATGAATGGGGCCATGTATCGTGAGAATTTGAGTGAAAACCTCCTTCCATCAGCAAGGGTATTGAAGATGAAACGTGGCTGGGTCTTTCAGCATGACAATGATCCCAAACACACCGCCCGGGCAACGAAGGAGTGGCTTCGTAAGAAGCATTTCAAGGTCCTGGAGTGGCCTAGCCAGTCTCCAGATCTCAACCCCATAGAAAATCTTTGGAGGGAGTTGAAAGTCCGTGTTGCCCAGCGACAGCCCCAAAACATCACTGCTCTAGAGGAGATCTGCATGGAGGAATGGGCCAAAATACCAGCAACAGTGTGTGAAAACCTTGTGAAGACTTACAGAAAACGTTTGACCTGTGTCATTGCCAACAAAGGGTATATAACAAAGTATTGAGAAACTTTTGTTAGCCCATATCTCCTACAGCTTTCACTACACCACATGTCTATGCACCACACACATTCTTCCACACACCACACCATGAGCCCTGCTCATCCCAACACGTTGTTTCTGTTTCTGACTACACTGTCTGTTATTGGTCTTGTTGGTATCTTGTTTTTAAAATGGAGGTCACCATAACACGTGAAATGAAAGTTATAAACACGGGCGTCTTAGGCACGCTTGTTTTTCTCTTTCACTTGGAACATTCATCAGCTAGAACTCAGTAGCTATCAATATCTTTGATTTAATTAGGAGCCTATTCTTCCTCACCACCAAGTACCTGTAGACTCCTCTGGTTGTGGGCAATGAGTTCACTAGAAGTCAATGGTTATGGGTACCATATAAATAGAATGGGTATGCTGTGTGTCTCCTCCTGACCCAGAGTCAGTGACAGCTCCTCCTTGTCCCCCAGCAGGAGGTGCAGCAGCAGGAGCAGGCGGAGAAGCAGAGGAGGAGGTGCGAGGAGCTGCAGGCCCAAGTGTTACATCTACAGACGGAGAATCAGGAGTTACAGAGCTGCCTGAGGGGCAACCATGCCCAGGAAGGTTGGTTTAAAACACATAAACACACGTACACACACATGATTGGTTTAAACAGCTGCCTTAAGGGCAACGATACCTAGGGAGGTTGGTTGATATAGAACAGCCTTAGAGACACAGCCGGCTGAGGGGCAACCATGCTAAGGAAGGTTAGTTTAAACATCTGCCTTAGGGGCAACCATGCTCAGGAAGGTTAGTTTAAACATCTGCCTTATGGTCAACCATGCACAGGAAGGTTAGTTTAAACATCTGCCTTAGGGGCAACCCGGCTCAGGAAGGTTAGTTTAAACATCATTACCCTTTATGTTGCACATAATATATCACACACCTCTTAGAAACAATCCCCTTCTCACATGTGTGTATGCAAACATACTACCCACCACATTACATTACATTTACATTTTAGTCATTTAGCAGACACTCTTATCCAGAGAGACTTACAGTTAGTGAGTGCATACATTATTTTTTTATTACTGGCCCCCCGTGGGAATCAAACCCACAACCCTGGCGTTGCAAACGCCATGCTCTACCAACTGAGCTACATCCCTGCCGGCCATTCCCTCCCCTACCCTGGACGACGCTGGGCCAATTGTGCGCCGCCCCATGGGTCTCCCGGTCGCGGCCGGTTACGACAGAGCCTGGATTCGAACCAGGATCTCTAGTGGCACAGCCACTGTGCCACTCGGGAGGCCACTCATCTCCCTCTCGGATACGTACCAGGTTGTACGCACTCCTGAGATCTAATTTAGTGAAGAAGCGCACTCCATGCAATGACTCAACCACTGATGGAATGAGGGGGAGAGGATAACTAAATCTAATCGTCTCCTTGTTCAGTGGTCGATAGTCAATGCACGGGCGCAGACCGCCGTCTTTCTTCTTCACAAAAAAGAAACTTGAGGAGGCGGGTGAAGTGGAGGGACGTATGTACCCCTGGTGCAGGGACTCGGTGACGTATGTTTCGATAGCCTCCGTCTCCGCCTGCGACAGAGGATACACATGACTCCTGGGAGGTACAGCGTCTACCCGAAGGTTTATTGCGCAATCCCCCGCCCGATGAGGTGGCAATTTAGTGCCAGATCATGGTATTCGGGGGGAATGCGCACGGTGGAGGCACCGTCTGGACTTTCCCTGACACTCTCGGACCACCCTGTGAGAACCCTCTGCGGCCATGAGAAAGTGGGGTTGTGGAGTGCTAGCCACGGAATACCTAACACCACAGGGAAAACAGGAGAATCAATGAGGAAAAAGTGACATGCTTTCACGCTGTGATCATGGTGACGTGGTCCTCTGTATTGGTGAGCACCGGTACGCTGTAGTGGGTTGATCCCGGGACCACCTACACCTTTTTTATGCGCATGACGTAGTCGCTTTGGATAAAAGACCCTAAATGGCTTTTTATTTTATATATTACCGTGACTTCCTTTATAACCCGGACCCTAAATGGTCGACTATCAAGTGCTCTGGGGCGTGGAATGGATAGCGGGAACTAATGAAATGCCCATGGGGGCGTGCAAAAGTTTTATCCAATAAAGTTCCCAGCTGCGCCTGAATCTACTAGCGCCTTACACTTGGGAACTCTCATGTAATCAGGGAAGTATATGGGTATGGTACAGTGCGCAGCAGAGGGCTCTGAACAAGTGTGGGTGCTCAATACCTGGGTGATGTGAGAGGTGCCCTGCCGGCCGCCTCCTGACCCAAAAGAGCGCTGACGACAACGTGTGGTGGAATGTTCCTTCGTGCCATCCGATTGCCACTGGCGCTCTCTCGGTGCGCGGTACCACCCAGCTCCATGAGCTCTGGATCCGCGTTGGTCGGGGCGGGAACGGGCAGACCTCCTCCAGGACGTCCTCTGGTTGCCAGCAGGTTATCCAGACGAATGGCCTTGTCCACCAGTTCGGTAAAAGACAAACTGGTGTCACGGCAGGCTAGCTCCCGTCGGACGTCCTCCCGTAGATGGCACCGGAACTGGTTGATCAGGGCCCGCTCGTTCCTGTTGCCAGAATCCGGAACTCCAGCGCGAACTCCTGTACTGTCCTCGTCCCCTGCCTCAAGTGGACCAGCCGCTCACCCGCCTCTCGACCCTCGGGCGGGTGATCGAAAACCGCCCGAAATAGGCGGGCAAACTCCCTGTAGTCCTCCAACGCGGCTCCTCCTTCTCTCCAAACCACGTTGGCCCACTCCAGGGATTTCCCCGAGAGGCAGGAAATGAGGACGGACACCTGCTCTCGATCTGATGGCACCGGCCTGACACTGGAGCAGTACAGCTCCAGTTGGAGAAGGAATCCCTGACATAGAGCCGGCGTCCCATCGAACGCTCGTGGTCGAGATATCTGGATCCCTCCGGGTGCTGTGATGTAGGTGGCTGGATCCGGTTCCTCTTCTCTCCAGGCGTTGGACGACCTGAAGAACCCGATCCATCGCTTCCCCCAAGCTGGCCAGCATAGTGGAATGTTCCTGGACCCTTGCCACTATTCCAGGCATGCGCTCCTCTCCTGCCGACTCCATAAAGGTGAGTGATTCTGTGATGAGGTGTGAATGACGGAGTCAGATGCAGGAGGTAAAACACCAAAATCCAGAGTTTATTCAGTGTACATGAATAAAGCACAGCAAGCGTCAAAACGAAACTAGCACAAGGGAAAAATCCACCTTGGCTACATACAAGGAAAGAGTAGCTCAACCGAGCTACTCACTCTCACAATGAACAATCACTCACAAAGGACAAGGGGGCAGAGGGAACACTTATACACAGACTAATGAGGGAATGAGTACCAGGTGTGTGTGATTGACAAGACAAGACAAATGGAGTGATGATAAATGGAGTGGTAGTGGCTAGTAAGCCGGTGACGACGAACGCCGAAACCGGCCCGAGCAAGGAGGAGGGGCAGCCTCGGCTGAATTCGTGACAGAAACAAGGAGGGACTTCCTGGACTTGTCCAATAAGAAACGGAAACATTAATTTCCGTTTTACGTTGATATTATTTATATATATAAAAATATATATATAATTGTGCCCTAATGATGTTCTCTCTGATCCGTCTGTTGACCATTGAATACCCACAGTAACGATATTGCATTGTTGTGGTCCTGTGTTCCAGACCGTGTCCAACGGCAGGAGCGGGAGGTGATGCTGAAACTGAAGGTGGTGGTTGACAAGCAGAGAGATGAGCTGAGGGCCAAAGTACAGCAGATAGCCAGCGTTACTAAAGAGGTGGAGGCGGTAAGGACAAGAAGACTACATGTACAGTCCATCTGAATGCAAGTGTACCCAGACACGCTTCAGCTTGCACGCACGCACACACACACACACACACACACACACACACACACACACACACACACACACACACACACACACACACACACACACACACACACAGACACACAGACACACACACACACCCCTGGGCACAGTGGCACAGTGATTGTATCCATACTCTGAAGGTCAGCCAATAGCCTGTCATGAGTGGGGAGGTGTCATAAACAGCCGATAGGAAGTCTGTCTCTCAGCAGTGAATCAGGGAGCAGTACGGCCTGGTATGGGAATTGCTCTGTCCACGACCGCAAGGCCCTCCAGCGGGTGGTGAAGATGGCCCAGTATATCACTGGGACCGTGCTCCCACCCATCCAGGACATCTACTCGAAACCGTGCCTGAGGAATGCCCGCAGCATCATCAAGGACCCCACAAACCTCAACCACGAGCTGTTCACTATCTCACCGTCGGGCAGATGGTATCAGAGCATGAGATCTGATACCAACAGGCTCAGAGACAGTTTCTATCTACAAGCCATCAGACTGCTGAACACTTGAACTGGACTGACCACCTGCTCTGATTCTCTGCACCTTAGCACACATGCACTCACTCACGCACACACCCACACAGACACACACACACACACACACACACACACACACACACACACACACACACACACACACACACATATATACACTGAGTGTACAAAACATTAGGAACACCTCCCTGATATTGAGTTGCACCCCCTTTTGCCCTCAGAACAGCCTCAATTCGTCGAGCATGGACTCTACAAGGTGTCGAAAGCGTTCCACAGGGTTGCTGGCCCATGTTGACTCCAATGCTTCCCACGGTTGTGTCAAGTTGGCTGGATGTCCTTTGGGGGGTGGACCATTCTTGATACACACGGGAAACTGTTGAGCGTGAAAAACCCAGCAGCGTTGCAGTTCTTCACACACTCAAACCGGTGCACCTGGCACCTACTACCAAACCCCTTTCAAAAGCAATTAAATATTTTGTCTTTCCCATTCACCCTCTGAATGGCACACATACACAATCCATGTCTCGTTAACCTGTCTCCTCCACTTCATCTACGCTGATTTAAGTGGATTTAACAAGTGACATCAATAAGGGATCATAGCTTTCACCTGGATTCACCTGGTCAGTCTATGTCAAAGAAAGAGTTCCTAATGTTTTGTACGCTCAGTGTACATTCATGTTACACACACATCCCAACTGCTACTACCAGACTCTTATTATGATCGCTAAATACTGCACAATTTAAACACTTGCCACCCAATCCCCCCTTCCCCAAAACATGTGTAAATATTGGACTATAAATTGTGTATTATACTTACGCTAAAATGTTTATTCTATTCTACTGAGCCATTTACTTTATGTTCATATTCTTATCTTTTCTTATTTCTTATTGTTGTTGCATTGTTGAGGAGGAACCTGCAAGTATGCATTTAATTTGACGGGGTATACCATGTGTATCCTGTACATACGACTAATAAAACTTGAAACTGAAACAGTACTGGCATAATAGTCATGGTTATTGGTTTGTGCTGAGCATCACCTTGGAGACATGTCTGGGCCATGACTCCACTCCCCTATTCACAGCAGCTCTCTCTGTCACAGAGTAATGGTTTTAAACTCCAGCTCGAGCTGGGTGAGTTTGTTTATGTTTCTAGGCTTTTCAGCTTACCTAGAGATGTGGGCCTCCTCAATTAAGTTTGCTGAAAATGATGCTTGAACGTGTTTTTCTGTTCATGGGAGTAACCAGTGTTGTCCCCCTGTGTTTGTGTAATATGGTCTCCCCTTACTCCCATTGAGTCCCTTCACCCCCAACAAGGCCCACTATGATATCTAGCATATCATATAATCGGCCTGGATGTGTATGCGTGTGTATGTATGTAATGTGAGTGTTATATTAGGGTGTTTTTTCATACCTGTGTGTGTGTGTACAGCTGCAGGAGCATTTGGAGCGCTTCATGAAGATGAATGGGGAGCTGAGACACAAGCAGAGCATCGTCACGGCCCAGGTGAAGGGTGCTGTGGAGAGGAAGGCTGACATGGAGGCAGACCTCCGAGAGAAACAGAAAGAGATAGAACGCCTCACCATCCAGCTGGAAAAGGCCAACGCTGCTGCTGGCACAGTAAGAAGTGTGTCTGTGTGTTTGTCCCTTGTTGAAAAAGCAAGCATTAATTTCCATTTTTGAATTGGCCTTGGACCTCATATTATATTTAAGCAAAAATGCCAGAGGGGGTGTGGTATGTTGGCCATATACCTCAAACCCCTAAGGTGCCTTATTGCTATTATAAACTGATTATCAACATAAATAGAACAGTAAACATGTATTCTTGAGTCATACCCATGGTATACTGTCTGATATACACACAGCTGAAATGCTGTTTCAGCCAATCAATGTCCAGGACCCAAAGTACCCCATTTATAATACTACATAAGCATTAGTCATCCAGAGTGGTGTATTCTGACTCACTTTACTGACTTGTTTGTTACACCTTGTCGTCATTTCTCTAGATAACTTTTAGTGTCCTGCCCTCTCCCTCAGTTTATTTTGTAGCTGAACTTTAATCTTTAAACATTTGTCACTGTCCTCTCTCTGCCGAGTCTTACACTTGGCCTTTGTTTTCTCTAAACTCTTCTACCTGTAAAAGAAGCTGTAGCCATTTTGAAATATTTGTTATGACTAAGATAAGAGAAACTAAGGTCATATCCGTGACTTCTCTCTCTGACAAAGGAGTTAACTCATTGTTGTGAGAGGAAAACAGATACACCGTTGGCACAAGATGTACATGTACAGTACATGTCAAAAGTTTGGACACACCTACTCCTTGAAGGGTTTTCTTTATTTTTACTATTTTCTACATTGTAGAATAATAGTGAAGACATCAAAACTATGAAATAACACATATGGAATCATGCAGTAACCAAAAAAGTGTTAAACAAATCAAAATATAAATTATTGCCTTGATGACAGCTCTTGGCATTCTCTCAATCAGCTTCACCTGGAATGCTTTTCCAACAGTCTTGAAGGAGTTCCCATATATGCTGAGCACTTGCTGGCTGCTTTTCCTTCACTCTGCCGTCCGACTCATCCCAAACCATCTCAATTTGGTTAAGGTTGGGGAATTGTGGAGGCCAGGTCATCTGATGCAGCACTCCATCACTCTCCTTCTTGATAAAATAGCCCTTACACAGCCTGGAGGTGTGTTGGGTCATTTTCCTGTTGAAAAACAAATGATAGTCCCACTAAGCCCAAACCAGATGGGATGGCGTATCGCTGCAGAATGCTGTGGTAGCCATGCTGGTTAAGTGTGCCTTGAATTCTAAATAAATCACAGACAGTGTCACCAGCAAAGCACATTTACATTTTACATTTTAGTCATTTAGCAGACGCTCTTATCCAGAGCGATTTACAGTTAGTGAGTGCATACATTTTTCATACTGGCCCCCCGTGGGAATCGAACCCACAACTCTGGCGTTGCAAACGCCATACTCTACCAACTGAGCTACACAGGGCAATAAAACCTTGCCTGGAAATGCAAGACACAGATGACTATAAGCACGATTAGCAGTCATACATTCTGTAGCACTCGATTGCTCCACATTGAACGGCCCACTCCTTTCAGACAAATTATGCAGTAGTGCTGCTGTAGTAATAACAAAATAATAAAAAAATAACAGCAAATATGATCACAAGAGGGGAAAAAACTAACACGCTTCACTTCAGAGTTCTGGTGCTGATAGGAACATGTTCTTTCCAAACTCTAAAAGCTAGGACTATGAATACTACATTTATCAAATACTCCAAGTGCAAGATATGTCCACAGTCCACTATCTTACCTAGATAGAAACAACTATGTTCTCAGAAATAAAAACTACTTCAGGCCAAACTGAGCTGCTTTGAACTTGTGGTCAAGTTCCTGGAGAATGTCAAGTTCGTGGCAGGGGAGTACTTCAAGTGTTTAAGTAACTATTGTTCACATTCACACTCAACCCAATCACTCTCACTCTCACACACACACACGCACACACGCACACACACACACAAAAAAATATATATATATATATATATTCGCATTGTGGTCCTAAGGTTACTAATAGGATAGCCTGTACGACTTACAAGGACCAGCCTAGAAACACATTTGAGCCATGGCTGCCCTAAAGACACAGGTAGTAACATCTGGACCAGGGATAAAGCACACCAACCACTGGTCCACCAGAAAAACGGCAAGTAGCTTAGTGGTTAAGAGCGTTGTGGCAGTAACCGAAAGGTCGCTGGTTCTAATCCCCTGGCCGACTAGGTGAAAAATCTGTTGATGTACCCTTGAGCAAGTTGCTTAACCCTAATTGCTCGTGTAAGTCGCTCTGGATAAGAGCGTCTGCTAAAAAAAATAAAAATAAAAACAAGAGCCAAGCTATCAATAGGAAAATAAAAGGAAACCAAAAAGGAAACCGGAGGCATCAACTTTCACTGCATGACAAGCAGAAACATATTAAGCTTAAGGAGTCACTAGACTTTTAAAAACACAGTTCATAGATTTAGTACAAAGGTACTAAAATGTATTGTAAGTTTAACATCTGAGTAATGCATGACTTAAAAGTCACCCCTTCAAAATAAAAGCTTGTCTAAGATTACCCAAAAATATTCAGGTAAAGTCATGAGGAAAGCCAGCCAAAGCCTCGCGGGGGAAATAGACACACACGCACACACTCTTCAACCTCTATCTTGGAAATGCATATATTCAAGCAGCAATACAAAAAAATATCCATGAAGTATATACGCATATTCTCTGAAAAAAACAAATAATGTATGAAAACATCCCTGCTATCATGTCTCTAAATACAAAACCTCTACCAATAACTTGCTTCAGTGTAACAAGAGAAGTCATTTTTCCTCTTTTCTTTTGTCTTTTTATCAGTCCTTTCAAAACAGGTTAAAATTTCAGTCCTCAGGTGTGAATGGTATGGATGACTGTCTTCTTTTCGTCGTTAAAATCGTTGTCTTTTTTTTCCTCTCATATACTTGAAGAAGTTGTAAGCATGCAAGCCTCAGAGTGGGCAGAGGCGTTGACGGGGCGGGCTAGTGGCGGTGCTGAAGTCTTAGGCCAGGACCGGGAAGGCCTCTGGGTCGTCAACGTTGGGAACGGACAATCCACCCGGCTTTTCAGGTCGAACTCCCCCGGGCCGAGCCGGCCGGTCGGATCGGCCTCATCCTCCACTGCTGCCTCCCCGTCCTCCACGGGCTCCCCCACACCATAACACCTCCTCCTCCATGCTTTACGGTGGGAACTACACATACAGAGATCATCTGTTCACCCACACCGCGGCTCACAAAGACACGGCGGTTGGAACCAAAAATCTCAAATTTGGACTCCAGACCAAAAGACACATTTCCACCTGTCTAATGTCCATTGCTCGTGTTTCTTAGCCCAAGCAGGACTCTTCTTCTTATTGGTGTCCTTTAGTAGTGGTTTCTTTGCAGCAATTCATCCACGAAGGCCTGATTCACACAGTCCCCTCTGAACAGTTGATGTTGAGATTTCTGAGGCTGGTAACTCTAATGAACTTATCCTCCGCAGCAGAGGTAACTCTGGGTCTTCCATTCCTGTGGCGGTCCTCATGAGTGCCAGTTTCATCATAGCGCTTGATGGTTTTTGCGACTGCACTTGAAGAAACTTTCAAAGTTCTTGAAATTTTCCGTATTGACTGACCTCCATGTCTTAAAGTATTGATGGACTGTTGTTTTTCTTTGCTTATTTGAGCTGTTTACATTTTAGTCATTTAGCAGACGCTCTTATCCAGAGCGACTTACAGTTAGTGAATACATATTTTTTTTATACTGGCCCCCCGTGGGAATCGAACCCACAACCCTGGCGTTGCAAACGCCATGCTCTATCAAATGAGCTACATCCCTGCCGGCCATTCCCTCCCCTACCCTGGACGACGCTGGGCCAATTGTGCGCCGCCCATGAGTCTCCCGGTCGCGGCCGGCGGCGACAGAGCCTGGATTCGAACCAGGATCTCTAGTGGCACAGTTAGCACTGCGATGCAGTGCCTTAGACCACTGCGCCACTCAGGAGCTGTTCTTGCCATAATATGGAGTTGGTCTTTTACCAAATAGAGCTATCTTCTGTATACCCCCTACAAATTCCACAAATTAACTTTTAAGAAGGCACACCTGTTAATTGAAATGCATTCCAGGTGACTACCTCATGAAGCTGGTTGAGAGAATGCCAAGAGTGTGCAAAGCTGTCATCAAGGCAAAGGGTGACTATTTGAAGAATCTAAAATATTAAATATATTTTGATTTGTTTAACACTTTTTTGGTTACTACATCATTCCATATGTGTTATTTCATAGTTTTTATATCTTCACTATTATTCTACAATGTAAACAATAGTAAAATAAAGAAAAACCCTTGAATGAGTAAGTGTGTCCAAACTTTTGACTGGTAGTGTATGTATTGTCCACGTACAGTATAATGTGACTAAGAAGTCTTACTACAAGAAAAATGTTATTTTAACTTTGTAATAATCACACATACAGTGCATTCGGAAAGTATTAAAACCCCTTGACTTTTTCCACATTTTGTTAAGTACAGCCTAATTCCAAAATTGATTAAATTGTTTTTTCCCCTAATCAAGCAGCACACAATACCCCATAATGACAAAGCAAAAACAGGTTAAAAAATTTTTCTGCAAATGTATAGAAATAAACAACTGAAATATCACATTTACATAAGTATTTAGACCCTTTACTCAGTACTTTGTTGAAGCACCTTTGGCAGCGTTTACAGCCTCGAGTCTTCTTGGGTATGATGCTACAAGCTTGGCACACCTGTATTTCGGGAGTTTCTCTCATTGTTCTCTGCAGATCCTCTCAAGATCTGTCAGGTTGGATGGGGAGCATCACTGCACAGCTATTTTCAGGTCTCTCCAGAGATGTTAGATTGGGTTCAAGTCTGGGCTCTGGCTGGGCCACTCAAGGACATTCAGAGAATTGTCCCAAAGCCACTCCTACGTTGTCTTGACCGTGTGCTTCGGGTTCTTGTCCTGTTGGAAGGTGAACCTTTGCCCCAGTCTGAGGTCCTGAGCGCTCTGGAGCAGGTTTTCATGAAGGATCTCTCTGTACTTTGCTCCGTTCATCTTTCTCTCAATCCTGACTAGTCTCTCAGTCCCTGCCGCTGAAAAACATCCCCACAGCATGATGCTGCCACCACCATGCTTCACCGTAGGGATGGTGCCAGGTTTCCTCCAGACGTGACGCTTGGCATTCAGGCCAAAGAGTTCAATCTTGGTTTCATCAGACCAGAGAATCTTGTTTCTCATGGTCTGAGATTCCTTTAGGTGCCTTTTGGCAAACTCCAAGCGGGAGTGGCTTCCGTCTAGCCACTCTACCATAAAGGCCTGATTGGTGGAGTGCTGCAGAGATGGTTGTCCTTCTGGAAGGTTCTCCCATCTCCACAGAGGAACTCTGGAGCTCTGTCAGAGTGACCATCGGGTTCTTGGTCACCTCCCTGACCAAGGCCCTTCTTCCCCGATTGCTCAGTTTGGCCGGGCGGCCAGCTCTAGGAAGAGTCTTGGTGATTCCAAACTTCTTCCATTTAAGAATGATGGAGGCCACTGTGTTCTTGGGGACCTTCAATGCTGCAGAATGTTTTGGTATCCTTCCCCAGATCTGTGCCTCAACACAATCCTGTCTTGGAGCTCTATGGACAATTCCTTCGACCTCATTGCTTGGTTTTTCCTCTGACATGCACTGTCAACTGTGGGACCTTATATAGACAGGTGTGTGCCTTTCCAAATCATGTCCAATCAATTGAATTTACCACAGGTGGACTCCAATCAAGTTGTAGAAACATCTCAAGGATGATCAATGGAAACAGGATGCACCTGAGCTTAATTTCGAGTATCATAGCAAAGGGTCTGGTATTTCTATTTTTTATTTGTAATACATTTGCAAACATTGTTGTTATGAGTTATTCTGTGTAGATTGCTGAGGGGAAAAAAATAATTTAATCCATTTTAGAATAAGGCTGTAACGTAACAAAATGTTAAAAAAGTAAAGGGGTCTGAAAACTTTTTTTGGGATAATTTCATAGAATGTGAAGTTCACTGAATGTGTTATACCAGGTGAACAACATTTTGTTTCCCTTTGCCATAAAACACAACTGTCATTACATGAACAAAATTGTGATAGTCCAGCTGTGTTTTCTCCACCCCAACAGGCCAGTCCGTGTAAGACAGAAGTGGACCTGACAGGCAAGCTGGTGATAGACCTGAAGGACCCCAACAGACCCTGTTTCACCAAACAGGAGGTCAGAGAGATGCTGACAGAGAGGAATGAGCTCAAAGCCAACCTGTTCCTGGTGCAGGAGGAACTCTCCTACTACCAGAGGTAGGTACTATAGGGTGTGTGTTTGTTTGTGTGTGTGTGTGTCGGGGGGGATATGAGTGTGTGTGTATGTGTTTACATGTTTGTTTGTTTGTGTTTGTCTAGTTTCATACCTGTGTGTGTATGTACTGACTTGTGTGTCATATGTGTCATCCACACAGGGAGATCCTGAATGATGAGCGGTGTCCAGGCTTCTTGCTGGAGGCAGTACGTTCTGCCATAAAGAAACAGAAAACTGTCATCAAGGCCAAGATGCTGGGCATGCCAGAGGACGAATGCAGCAGGTGACACTGACTCACACACACGGGTACACACACACACACACACACACACACACACACACACACACAGGTACTCACACATACACATGCGCGTACACACACACACACACACACAAAGACACAGTGCTAACTTTGTGGATGTGCTTTCTTTGAACAGTGATGAGGAGAAAGCCCCCGTGTTTGAGAGGAGAGCAGAGACAGAAACCGAGACAGACAGCACTGACAGCAAACCACAAGAGTCTCGCATCAGGAACCTGTATGTACTACTGACCTGTTTTTACTCATGTAAACAACACATAGCTATTTACATACAGAAATGTAAACATGTTTAAAGCACATTTACAACATTCATAGAAACCCAATCAGAAGATAGTTCTAGAAATTTGGTATGAATAGTTGCTTGTTACAATGTTGTTACTCTGGTAAACTGACGCAGGGCCTGGTTTTGTTGGAGAATTCCTGCAATAGCCTAATTTGCAATGACAATGAGCCTCAGTTAACTATGCAGTGCCCTACCATAACCCTTACTCCAAGGCCACTGATTGTCTAGGCAAAGTTGAGGCAGGTCTGTGGTTGGTTAGACCGGTTTGGCTTCTTTCATAGGCCTCCAGCATCCGTGAATCATTCCATCAACTTGTTGCTATGTCTTGAATCCTGATTATATTGTCTGTCTGGTCTCCTGATAATACTGTTGAGTGTCTATGTTTACCTCTAGGCAGAAAGACAAACACATGCTTCTGCTTTGTTCACTGTTCTGCTCTGTTTACCTTCAACCTATAGCTTTCACAGCACCTGCTGATGCCTCTGACTAAGCCCATTGAAATAAACATAGACTACTCCCCCTGCTGGTGTAAGCAGGGACTACCTCATATCTACAGAATGTAGTACTGCATGTAATCTCAGAAACCCTGACCAGAACCAAATTTCACATGCACGCTTACCGTTTAATGATCACGGCCGGTCACAAGACACTATGCGGCATATAACCTCAGACACTGTAGTAGTGTGTAGGAACTACTAGGAAGCAGAACAACTCAGTCTTTCAGACAATATCTCTGACCTGTGAACTGTGTTGTGTTGTCTCCTCTCCTGTGTGTAGCTTTAGTTTCTTCTGATAGCTGATCCTAGACCTGTGTTGTCTCCTAGCTTTGGCTTCCTGACCCGCTCAGGCAGCAACCACAGCAGCCGTAGTCCCAGTGAAAACAACGCTGCTTCTTCCTGGGAAATCATCGACGACTCCGAGACCACCGCGGAGACAGAACCCCAACGATCACCATGACAACCCTCAACACCCGTCCAACTACACTTATAATATATAATGCCATTTAGCAGACGCTTTTATCCAAAGCGACTTACAGTCATGTGTGCATAAATGTTTGCGTATGGGTGGTCCTGGGGATGGAACCCACTACCCTGGCGTTACAAGCGCCGTGCTCTACCAGCTGAGCTACAGAGGACCACACTTTCCATTCTGTTCGGGTTTCACTGGATGTTTTATACTGTTTAGGTCTCCATAGCCGCCCTAAGAAAGGAAGAGCATTCTCTCATGCCTTCCCTCTTTCTTTTTTATTACCCCCTCGTCCTTGCTCTACATAACTTTATCTTCCTCTCTCTCTTTCTCTTTCTCTCCCTCTGTTTCTCTCAGGAAAAGGTTCAGAATGGTGAAATGGCCAACTGTACACTTTGCATTGATAGTAATCATGCAGGACATTATTAAGAGAGAAATCTCTGTTGAATCTCTGAAGCAAATTTGTATTGAGATATTTTAATAAATAAGATGTATTTTGACAACAGCAATCGTTAGTAATTGCAGGAACACGTTTGTGCCACAAGAGGGCATCCTAACTATTAACAACCATAGTGGACTTCCATGTGTTTAACATTTTACCTAGTGTGTGTGTGTGTGTGTGTGTGTGTGTGTGTGTGTGTGTGTGTGTGTGTGTGCCATGCATTGTGGTTGCTGTATTTCTTACAATCTGTCACGGACACGGACATGGTGTGAGTTATAGGGAACGTTTTGCAGTAAAGTACACTGTGTTGATTCTGACCCTGAATGTATTGCAACATAGTAACAGTCATTTATTGATTAGACTTTATATTCTTAACCATCAGCTCAACTCACATATTTGATAAGAGTCATATTATGAGTTCAAGCATGTCTTCCCTAGGAACATGAATTGGGCATTGGGGTTGGTTGTTATGTATGTGTCTGCCAAGTGTGTGTGTGCGTGCGTGCGCGCCTGTCTGTCTGTGTGTGTGTGTTCACTGTGCGCCTCTGTACGTTGGTTGCTGTACTTACAGAGGAAGTGTGTGTTTCCTTGGAATGAAATGGTGTGTGTGCTCTCAGTCTCCTTTCATCTCACCATGTCATTAAACACACACACAGCAATGGCTGCCCCTGCCCCCTACCATACCTTATCGGTACTCAGACCTCTCAGCCTCTGATGAGGTTTTCTGACATTCTAAATGAATGCTGCTGGTGATAGTGTGGAATAACGTATTTTCCTACAACACTATGGACATTTGATTTTTGTAAGCATGACTGTTTTTAAATGGAGAAGCTTTTGTGCTACAAAAACTAAATAAATATTTGAAATGAAATCAGAAATGTGTAATGTGGGAGAATGTAAGTTGGGCTGTCAGCATACATCCATTTGCCAAGAGAACATCCCACTTCCGATCTAGGAAGGACAGTTTGGCTTTTTTTAACAACAAGGTGTTTGTATGTGTGTGTTTGTGTTTGTGAGGTATAGAAAGTACTGGTGAGGAAGACAGATGTACCCAAATAAACTTGCAAACACACATACACACACCTACTGTACACTTTGCATTGACAATAACCGTGCAGGACATTATTAAGAGGGACTTTTTTAATGGATAATGTTTTTGTAATTTTTGAGTATTTGTATTCAACATTATAGTGATGTGTATGGTATGTAACCATCTACAACAAATCTCTGTTGAAGCAAATTTGTATTGAGATATTTGAACAAATAAATATTTTTTGCCAAAGATATTGAGATGTATTTTGACCACAGCGATCATTAGTAATTGCAGGAACACGTTTATGCCACAAGAGGGCATCCTAACTATTAACAACCATAGTGGACTTCCATGTGTTTAACATTTTACCTAGTGTGTGTGTGTGTGTGTTTTTTTGTGCCATGCTTTGTGGTTGCTGTATTTCTTACAATCTGTCACGGACACAGATATGGTGTGAGTTATAGGGAACGTTTTGCAGTAAAGTACACTGTGCTGATTCTGACCCTGAATGTATTGCAACATAGTAACAGTCATTTATTGATTAGACTTTATATTCTTAACCATCAGCTCATCTCACATATTTGATAGGGTCCGATTATGAGTTCAATCATGTCTTCCCTAGGACCATGAATTGGGCATTGGGGTTGGTTATGTGTGTGTTGTGTGTGTTGTGTGCTCGTCTGTCTGTTTCTGTCTGTGTGTTCACTGGGGCACCAGCCCCTGTACGTTGGTTGCTGTACTTACAGAGGAAGTATGTATTTCCTTGGGGGGAAATGGGAGATTGTGTGTGTCTGCCGTCACTCTCCTTCCATCTCACCATGTCGTTAAACACACACAGACACACACGCACACAACAACGGCTTCCCTTGCCCCCTACCATATCTTATCGGTACTCAGACCTCTCAGACCCTGACGTAGTTTTCTGACAATCTTAATGAATGCTACTGGTGATAGTATTGAATGATGGCCCCCAATTACGTATTTTCCTACATACTGTACACTACCAGTCAAAAGTTTGGACACACCTACTCATTCAAGTGTTTTTCTTTATTTGTACTATTTTTTACATTGTAGAATAATAGTGAAGACATCAAAACTATGAAATAACACATATGGAATCGTGTAGTAACGAAAAAAGTGTTAAACAAATCAAAATATATTTTATATTTTAGTTTCTTCAAATAGTCACCCTTTGCCTTGATGACAGCTTTGCACACTCTTGGCATTCTCTCAACCAGCTTCATGAGGTAGTCACCTGGAATGCATTTCAATTAACAGGTGTGCCTTCTTAAAAGTTAATTTGCGGAATTTCTTTCCTTCTTAATGTGTTTGAGCCAATCAGTTGTGTTGTGACAAGGTGGGGGGGGGGGGTATACAGACGATATCCCTATTTAGTAAAATACAAGGTCCATATTATGGCAAGAACAGCTCAAATAAGCAAAGAGAAATGACAGTCCATCATTACTTTAACATGTGAAGGACAGTCAATACGGAAAATCTCAAGAACTTTGAACGTTTCTTCAAGTGCAGTCGCAAAAACCATCAAGTGCTATGATGAAACTGGCTCTCATGAGGACCACCACAGGAATGGAAGAGCCAGAGTTACCTCTGCTGCATAAGTTCATTACAGTTACCAGCCTCAGAAATTGCAGCTCAAATAAATGCTTCACAGAGTTCAAGTCACAGACACATCTCAACACCAACTGTTCGGAGGGGACTGTGTGAATCAGGCCTTCATGGTCAAATTGCTGCAAAGAAACCACTACTAAAGGACACTAAAAGACCTGCTTGGGCCAAGAAACACGAGCAATGGAAATGTGTCTTTCGGTCTGGAGTCCAAATTTGAGATCTTTGGTTCCAACCGCCGTGTCTTTGTGAGAGGCGGTGTGGGTGAACGGATGATCTCCACATGTATAGTTCCCACCGTAAAGCATGGAGGAGGAGGTGTTATGGTGTGGGGGTGCTTTGCTGGTGACACTGTCAGTGATTTATTTAGAATTCAAGGCACACTTAATCAGCATGGCTACCACAGCATTCTGCAGCGATACGCCATCCCATCTGGTTTGGGCTTAGTGGGACTATCATTTGTTTTTCAACAGGACAATGACCCAACACACCTCCAGGCTGTGTAAGGACTATTTGACCAAGAAGGAGAGTGATGGAGTGCTGCATCAGATGACCTGGCCTCCACAATCCCCTGACCTCAACCCAATTGAGATGGTTTGGGATGAGTCGGACGGCAGAGTGAAGGAAAAGCAGCCAACAAGTGCTCAGCATATGTGGGAACTCCTTCAAGACTGTTGGAAAAGCATTCCAGGTGAAGCTGGTTGAGAAAATGCCAAGAGAGTGCAAAGCAGTCATCAAGACAAAGGGTGGCTATTTGAAGAATCTCAAATATAAAATATATTTTGATTTGTTTAACACTTTTTTGGTTACTACATGATTCCATATGTGTTATTTCATAGTTTTGATATCTTCACTATTATTCTACAATGTAGAAATTAGTAAAAATAAAGAAAAACCTTTGAATGAGTAGGTGTGTCCAAACTTTTGACTGGTACTGTATGTACATTTTATTTTTGTAAGCATGACTGTTTTGAAATGGAGACGCCTTTGTGCTACGAAAACCAAATAAATATCTAAAGTGAAATCAAAACTGTGTAATGTGGGAGAATGTAAGTTGGGCTGTCAACATACATCCGTTTACCAAGAGAACATCCCACTTCCGATCTAGGAAGGACAGTTAGGCTTTTTAGTTGTACAAATTTTTTGTGTGTGTATGTTTGTGAGCTAAACAAAGTTGTTGTGTGGAAGACAGATGTACAGTACACAAATAAACTTGCAAAACACACACCTCTAAATATGCTGCTCACCTCTTCCCAGAATCTCTTAGTATGTGGTGATGTCTTAAAAAAGCCTTACTGAGGCAGATTGAATGGGAGGAAGTGGCTCTAACTTCCCCAGGAAAGACGGAGAGGAAACGGACAGGATTGGACCGCTCAGTCAGGCTGCACTGGGCCTACAACTACAAGACTAATGACTGAAGAGAGATAGGCTGGACAGAAAGACAGATAGAGGGAGAGAGAGAGAAAAAATAGAAAGACAGCCTTCCATTGGCCTACAAGACCACAGAGCTAGACTCGGGAAAAAGAAAGGTAGAGAGAGAGTGACTGGGGAGAAAGACAGAGGGAGAGAGAGAGAGAGAGAGAGAGAGAGAGAGAGAGAGAGAGAGAGAGAGAGAGAGAGAGAGAGAGAAGAGTGCCTTCAATTTCCATTGTCCTCTTCTGTACTTCGGAAGAGAATAGTGAGAGAAAGAGGAGAAAAGGAGAAAGTGATTTTCCCGGGATTGGATTCTGGTGTTGGGACAGGGAGAGGATTGGATTTTGGTGTTGGGACAAGGAGAGGATTGGATTCTGGTGTTGGGACAGGAAGAGGATTGGATTCTGGTGTTGGGACAGGGAGAGGATTGGATTCTGGTGTTGGGACAGGGAGAGGATTGGATTCTGGTGTTGGGACAAGGAGAGGATTGGATTCTGGTGTTGGGACAGGGAGAGGATTGGATTCTGGTGTTGGGACAGGAAGAGGATTGGATTCTGGTGTTGGGACAGGGAGAGGATTGGATTCTGGTGTTGGGACAGGGAGAGGATTGGATTCTGGTGTTGGGACAGGGAGAGGATTGGATTCTGGTGTTGGGACAGGGAGAGGCGTGTGAGTTGGACACGGTCTGAGACCTATTGTGGGCTGGTACAGACCTGGTTGTGGGGTGGACATGGGCCTGTTTCTGACGGGTATAGGACTACTGCTCTGCTGTTCCCTCTCCTCCCCTCAGAGACTGGCTCCCTCAGGGAGAAACGTCTGCCAGTACCTCAGGTGATGACTACATTCCACTCTCACACTTTATTTTTCTCTCTCTCTTTCTTTTTCTGCCTTTTCTATCAAACAATATATCCTTTATGAAACATTTTCAGAATCTTCATAATTGTAATCTTCCGATATTTCTTGAAAAAACTGTAAAAAGAAATGTGACCCATAAGGAAACTTCCTACTATGCTTTACGTTATGTCTTTTGTTTACCCTTCTCAAACAGGGATCCCTCCATTCTTGTCTGTTGTACTGGATGGAGACAACAGGGAGAGGAGTGTACTATACGTGAGTATCAATTTAGGGGAGAGGAGTGTACTATACCTGAGTACCAGTAGACAGTAAATTGTGTAAAACCGTCCAGGGCGTCTTGCTAAGGCAGTATTGTATAATTCCGCACTGTGTCTGTTGTTCATGACTCCAGCTGTGTGTGATGGCGAGCGGGCCTGCCAGCAGGATGAGGTGTGTGTATACCCGGGCGTCTGTCGCTGTCGACCTGGCTACTATGGAGCCCACTGCAAGACACGTAAGTCAAACCAACTCTGACGTTTAAGTTACATAGGCTATGTCATTCAAACAATATACAGTGCATTCGGAAAGTATTCAGACCCCTTGACTTTTTCCACATTTTGTTACATTACAGCCTTTTCCCCTCATCAATCTACACACAATACCCCATAATGACAAAGCAAAAACAGGTTTTTAGAAATGTTTGCAAATGTATAAATAAATGAACAACAAATATCACATTTACATAAGTATTCAGACCCTTTACTCAGTACTTTGTTGAAGCACCTTTGGCAGCGATTACAGCCTTGAGTCTTCTTGGGTATGACGCTACAAACTTGGCACACCTGGATTTGGGGAGTTTCTCCCATTCTTCTCTGCAGATCCTCTCCAGAGACGTTTAATCGGGTTCATGTCCGGGCTCTGGCTGGGCCACTCAAGGACATTCAGAGACTTGTTCCGAAGCCACTCCTGCGTTGTCTTGGCTGTGTGCTTAGGGTCGAAGTCCTGTTGGAAAGTGAACCTTCACCCCAGTCTGAGGTCCTGAGCGCTCTGGAGCAGGTTTTCATCAAGGATCTCTCTGTATTTTGCTCCGTTCATCTTTCCCTCGATCCTGACTAGTCTCCCAGTCCCTGCCGCTGAAAAACATCCCCACAGCATGATGCTGCCACCACCATGCTTCACCGTAGACATGGTGCCAGGTTTCCTCCAGATGTGATGCTTGGCATTCAGGCCAAAGAGTTCAATCTTGGTTTCATCAGAACAGAGAATCTTGTTTCTCATGGTCTGAGAGTCTTTAGGTGCCTTTTGGCAAACTCCAAGCGGGCTGTCATGTGCCTTTTACTGAGGAGTGGCTTCCGTCTGGCCACTCTACCATAAAGGCCTGATTGGTGGAGTGCTGCAGAGATGGTTGTCCTTCTGGAAGGTTCTCCCGTCTCCACAGAGGAACTCTGGAGCTCTGTCAGAGTGACCATCGGGTTCTTGGTCACCTCCCTGACCAAGGCCCTTCTTCCCCGATTGCTAGTTTGGCCAGGTGGCCAGCTCTAGGAAGAGTCTTGGTGATTCCAAGCTTCTTCCATTTAAGAATGATGGAGGCCACTGTGTTCTTGGGGACCTTCAATGCTGCAGAATTTTTTGGTATCCTTCCCCAGATCTGTGCCTCAACACAATCCTGTCTCAGAGCTCTATGGACAATTCCTTTGACCTCATGGCTTGGTTTTTGCTCTGACATGCACTGTCAACTGTGGGACCTTATATAGACAGGTGTGTGCCTTTGCAAATCATGTCCAATCAATTGACTTGACCACAGGTGGACTCCAATCAAGTTGTAGAAACATCTCAAGGATGATCAATGAAAACAGGATGCACCTGAGCTCAATTTTGAGTCTCATAGCAAAGGGTCTGAATACTTCTGTAAATAAGGTATTTCAGTTTTTTTATTTTAATCAATTTGCTAAAATTTCTAAAAACCTATTTTTGCTTTGTCATTATGGGGTATTGTGTGTAGATTAATTAGATTATTATTTTTAAAATCCATTTTAGAATAAGGCTGTAACGTAACAAAATGTGGAAAAAGTCAAGGGGTCTGAAAACTTTCCGAATGCACTGTATTGTGAACACAACAAGAGTTAATATAGCAACTTTGGTAGCACTTTACATTGCAGGAATAAAAGGGCAAGAACCTAATTAAGTGGAAACTACTGAAATATTACAGCCTGTCTCCCTCTATAGGCTGCCCTCCAGAGTTCTGGGCACCGGACTGCCGTGAGCTGTGCAAGTGCCACCCTCATGGGCGCTGTGACCCGGTCACAGGCGAGTGCACGTGCCTCCCCAACCGCTGGGGGCAACTCTGCCAGAACGCCTGCAGATGTGGCCGCCACGGGAACTGCCACCCCGTGCACGGCAACTGCACCTGCGACGAGGGTTGGTGGATGCCCACCTGTGCCAAGCAGTGCCAGTGCTACCCAGGCACCTCCACCTGTGACCCACTGACCGGCAGGTGAGAGAGAATGGGTTTATTTACAGTGGGAGGCATTAGTTAGCTTGGAGCTGAATTAATTGATGCAATTTAGCCTGCAATTTACTAATTTAAAGGGCAGTGTCACACACCATATTTTTTAACACAATAGCTACAACACAATACAACTATATGTTTTCTTAAAAAACGGTGTTTGGCAGGTGTCAGTGTGCCCCGGGGTACTGGGGTCAGAAGTGCAGCCTTCGCTGTAGCTGCTACATATCGTCGTGCCAACAGAAGACGGGGGCATGCGAGTGCCAGAACGGGTGGTGGGGTCAGACGTGTGACCGCCGCTGTAACTGTGACCTGGAGCACAGCGAGTGTAATGCGGTCAGCGGGGAGTGTGTATGTAATCCTGGGTACAAGGGAGCCATCTGTAATGAACCGTGTGGACCTGGGGAGTATGGCAGCGGGTGTAAACTGAGGTAAGAGAGTGTATATGGATATTGCAGTGGTGCTGCCTTGTCATTGTGCTGTTGATCAATATGGATGATTGATGGCTTGGGTGAATTCTGAGCACTTTATGTAGGCTTGTACCTGTGTCTATCCTAGAATGGCTACAGTATGTATTCAGTTGGACTGTTCCATGGATGTCTCTCTCTCTCCTTCTCTCCTGTGTAGCTGTGGGCACTGTAAAGGAGGCCAGTCGTGTTCTGTGGTTGATGGTGTCTGTACGGCCTGTGAGCCTGGGTGGAACGGCACACGCTGTGACCGGCCGTGTTCGTGGGGTTACCATGGAAACCACTGCCAGGAGGCGTGCCCACGCTGCAGGAATGGTGAACCATGTGACCCCAGGACGGCGGCGTGTTCACGATGTGATCCAGGATGGACCGGACCCAGGTGTGTGTGTTTGATGACTAACTACCAGTGAAATGCATCTGAGACCTTTTACAGTAATTCCACTGTTGTACTGTACCTACCCTTCCCAGACATTACAGTGTCAATGATACCGAAGAGGTTCAGTGTTTTCTTCAATTGCTGACAGTTTTTGTTGTCTGTCTGTTACCTGGGCCACTCTGTTTGTCTGCAGGTGTGATGAGCCGTGCTCTAACAGAACATTCGGGGACGCCTGCCGCTTCCTGTGCAGCCCCTGTTTCCATGGCCACTGTGATCACGTGACAGGAAGTTGTGTCTGTGGGCCTGGGTTCCAGGGACAGAGGTGAGAGTACTGAGAAAGCAGACAGAGGTTTTGTTCAGAGGTTCCTTACTCCCTTTCTTGAAGTAATCACTGATGTGGAACAATGGTTCAAATAAATACGTTTCTCCAATCCAATAATGTCTGATTTAGACATCTTGCTGTTTGTGTATCTCAATTAGGGGATTGTGTATCTGGCTGTCACTAACAGGTTTGTCTCTGTTGTGTCCCCAGTTGTAACATCACCTGTCCAGACCAGCAGTATGGCTTTAACTGTTCCTCTGTCTGTGACTGTGGAGAGGGCACCGCCTGTCACCCAGCAACGGGGGCGTGTCCATACAGTATGCACTCCTCCTATTGGATACAGCGCTAGTTGGTTATTAATGTGTAACTAATTATAAGTAATAGTAGATGGGTCTATGGATTCAAATATTGGTTTTCCTCAAGAAGGAATATGTGAGGTTGAATCACATTTATTTATGTGTGTGCGTGTGTGTGTGCGTGGTGTCAGGTGGTCGCGGGGCTCTGATCGCTGGTCTCCTGGTCCCTCTGCTCTTGGTGCTGCTGGGTCTGGTCTGCTGCTGCTGCTGCTGTGGAGGACCTACTGACGGCAAAGACAGGTGTGTGTGTATGATTCTGATGGCAAAGGCAGGTGTGTGTGTGTGTGTTCCTCTGACCTCTGACCTTGCTCTGGTCCTACAGGGTAGCAGTGGGTGACGGTGGTACCTCTGTCCGTATGAAGCATCATGTGTATAACGTCCTGGCCAACGTGAGCTCTGCTGTACCCTGTATCTCTGTCTGGTCCTCTGGGCTACCCAGAGTCACAGGTCAGTCCACTATCACACTAGAGATCATATCATATGTCTTTATGTACAGTACCAGTCAGAAGTTTGGACACACCTACTCATACTCCAGGGTTCTTCTTTATTTTTACTATTTACTACATTGTAGAATAACAGTGAAGACATCAAAACTATGAAATAACACATATGGAATCATGTAGTAACCAAATAAGTATTAAACAAATCAAAATATATTTTATATTTGAGATTCTTCAAAGTAGCCACCCTTTGCCTTGATGACAGCTTTGCACGCTCTTGGCATTCTCTCAACCAGCTTCATGAGGTAGTCACCTGGAATGCATTTCAATTAACAGGTGTGCCTTGTTAAAAATTAATTTGTGGAATTTCTTTCCTTCTTAATGCGTTTGAGCCAATCAGTTGTGTTGTGACAAGGTAGGGGTGGTATACAGAAGATAGTCCTATTTGGTAAAAGACCAAGGTCATATTATGGTAAGAACAGCTCAAATAAGCATAGAGAAACGACAGTCCATCATTACTTTCAGACATGAAGGTCAGTCAATACGGAACATTTCAAGAACTTTGAAAGTTTCGTCAAGTGCAGTCGCAAAAACCATCAAGCGCTATGATGAAACTGGCTCTCATGAGGACCACCACAGGAAAGGAAGACCCAGAGTTACCTCTGCTGCAGAGGATAAATTCATTATTGTTACCAGCCTCAGAAATTGCAGCCCAAATAAATGCTTCACAGAGTTCAAGTCACAGACACATCTCAACATCAGCTGTTCAGAGGAGACTGCATAAATCAGGCCTTCTTGGTCGAATTGCTGCAAAGAAACCACTACTAAAGGACACCAATAAGAAGAAGAGACTTGCTTGGGCCAAGAAACACGAGCAATGGACATTAGACCGGTGGTAATATGTCCTTTGGTCCAAATGTGAGATTTTTGGTTCCCACCCGCCGTGTCTTTGTGAAACGCAGAGTAGGTGAACGGATGATCTCCGCATGTGTGGTTCTCACCGTGAAGCATGGAGGAGGAGGTGTGATGGTGTGGGGGTGCTTTGCTGATGACACTGTCAGTGATTTATTTAGAATTCAAAGCATACTTAACCAGCATGGCTACCACAGCATTCTGCAGCGATACGCCATCACATCTGGTTTGCGCATAGTGGGACTATCATTTGTTTTTCAACAGAACAATGACCCAATACACCTCCAGGCTATGTAAGGGCTATTTGACCAAGAAGGAGAGTGATGGAGTGCTGCATCAGATGACTTGGCCTCCACAATCACCCAACCTCAACCCAATTGAGATGGTTTGGGATGAGTTGGACCGCAGAGTGAAGGAAAAGCAGCCAACAAGTGCTCAGCAAATGTGGGAACTCCTTCAAGACTGTTGGAAAAGCATTCCAGTTGAAGCTGGTTGGAGAATGCCAAGAGTGTAGTCACTGACCAAACACGGAAACAAAACCAAAACCAAACACAACAAATGAACACACCCTAACCCAACACAACCAAATGAATACACCCTGGCTCAAACAACACAGTCCCGGAGCCAGAGCGTGACAGTACCCCCCCCTAAAGGCGCGGACTGCGACCGCGCCTCAATACGGGCTAAACAAGGGAGGGCTGGGCGGGCATACCTCTTCGGCGGTGGTTCTGGCTCCGGTCGTGGTCCCCACCCCACCATAGTCACTACCCGCTTTCGTCGCCTCCTCCAACTGACCCCCACCGGATTAAGGGGCAGCACCGGACTAAGAGGCAGCACCGGACTAAGGGGCAGCACCAGGATAAGGGGCAGCACCAGACTAAGGGGCAGCACCGGACTGCGGGGCAGCACCGGACTGAATGGCGGATCCTGGCTGGCTGGCTCTGGCGGATCCTGGCTGGCGGAAGGCTCTGGCTGATCCTGTCTGGCGGAAGGCTCTGGCTGATCCTGTCTGGCGGAAGGCTCTGGCTGATCCTGTCTGGCGGAAGGCTCTGGCTGATCCTGTCTGGCGGAAGGCTCTGGCTGATCCTGTCTGGCGGAAGGCTCTGGCTGATCCTGTCTGGCGGAAGGCTCTAGCGGCTCCGGTCTGGCGGACGGCTCTGAAGGCTCATGGCAGACGGGCGGCTTATGCAGCGCTTGGCAGACGGACAGTTCAGACGGCGTTGGGCAGACAGGCAGTTCAGGCGCCGTTGGGCAGACGGGCAGTTCAAGCGCCGTTGGGCAGACGGCAGACTCTGGCCGGGCGACGCGCACCGTAGACTTGGTGCGGGTGGCAGGAACAGGCCGGACCGGGCTGGCGACGCGCACCGTAGACTTGGTGCGGGTGGCAGGAACAGGCCGGACCGGGCTGGCGACGCGCACCGTAGACTTGGTGCGGGTGGCAGGAACAGGCCGGACCGGGCTGGCGACGCGCACCGTAGACTTGGTGCGGGTGGCCGGAACAGGCCGGACCGGGCTGGCGACGCACACCATAGACTTGGTGCGGGTGGCAGGAACAGGCCGGACCGGGCTGGCGACGCGCACCGTAGACTTGGTGTGGGTGGCAGGAACAGGCCGGGTCGGGCTGGCGACGTACACCGTAGGCTTAGTACGTGGAGCAGGAACCGGCCGGACCGGGCTGGCGACGCACACCATAGACTTGGTGCGGGTGGCAGGAACAGGCCGGACCGGGCTGGCGACGCGCACCGTAGACTTGGTGTGGGTGGCAGGAACAGGCCGGGTCGGGCTGGCGACGTACACCGTAGGCTTAGTACGTGGAGCAGGAACCGGCCGGGCTGGACTGGCGACGCACACCGTGGACTTGGTGCGGGGAGCAGGACTATGCCAGACCGGGCTGTGGAGACGGATAGGAGGCCTGGAGTGAACAGCGGCCACCACCCGTCCTGGCTGAATGCCTACCCTCACACACTCTGTGTGAGGCATCCGCACAGGACGTACAGGGCGGTGTACCCCTGGCCTGGTGGCCTCCTGGATTCGCCCCATCTTAGCCTCCGTCGTCCATGCCTTGTGCTTGATGCGTGGAGTCGGAACAGGTCGGGCTGGGCTGGCCACGCACACCGTAGGCTTTCTACGTGGAACAGGAACCGGCCGGGCTGGACTGGCGACGCACACCGTGGGTCTGGTACGTGGCGCAGGAACAGGCCGGTCCGTACTGGGAACACACACCACTGGCCTTAACCGGGGATCAGGAACGGGCCGGTCCGGACTGGTAACACACCTCAGTCTCTCACGCCGTGCCTCAACTGCTTCCCTCCCTCTATTCGCCAATGGCTCCCGTAATCCGGTCGCCTTCTCTCCACATCTCCCTGTGGCAGCCTCCTGCTGCCCAGCCGCCCAAGCCATGTGCCCCCCCCCAAAAACTTTTTGGGGTTGCCTCACGTCCTTCCAACGATGACCCTGCTGACGCCGTTGCTCCTCTCTCGCCAGGGCCTTGATCTTCCCCCAAGGTCCCTTGCCCCCGAGCATGTCCTCCCAGGACCACGATTTGCCCACCTGGGCCATCGCCAGCCTCTCGATCTCCTTACCAGGCGCCTCCTCCCATGTCCAGTCTCTTTGCTCCCGGACACGCTGCTTGGTCCTTTGATGGTGGGTTTTTCTGTCACGACCGTCTTGAAAGGGAGCAGACCAATACGCAGCGCGTTGAGTGAACATGATGACTTTAATGAGTACAGCACGTAAATACAAAACAAAAGACGATAGTGAAGTCCAACAGTGACAATGACTGAACTTGGAACAAAACCCCACAACCACAAGGTGAAAACACACAGTATAAATATGGCTCCCAATCAGAGATAACGAGCCGACAGCTGACACTCGTTACCTCCGATTGGGAGTCACTGACCAAACACGGAAACAAAACCAAAACCAAACACAACAAATGAACACACCCTAACCCAACACAACCAAATGAATACACCCTGGCTCAAACAACACAGTCCCGGAGCCAGAGCGTGACAGTGCAAAGCTGTCATCAAGGCAAAGGGTGGCTACTTTAAAGAATCTCTAATATAAAATATATTTTGATTTGTTTAACACTTGTTTGGTTACTACATAATTCCATATGTGTTATTTCATAGTTTTGATATCTTCACTATTATTCTACAATGTAGAAAATAGTAAAAATAAAGAAAAACCCTTGAATGAGTAGGTGTGTCCAAACTTTTCACTGGTACTGTATGTAAGGAAGAAACTCCAGTACTTGTTGAATGCTCTCAAAGTTTTTCTCCATGCACTTGGATACAGGAGAGGTGTGCATACTATACTTATTACAATATGATTACAATAATAACAATAATAAACACTTCTCTCTCCAGTGTCCCACCACGACTCTGAGCTGACATTCAACCACAGTTTCATAGAGCCTCCCTCCTCAGGCTGGGTGACGGACGGATCCTCCTTTGACAGTGATGAGGAGACCGGAGAGGCTCTCTACTGTGTCCCACCCAGAGAAGGTAATCAGTGTGTGTGTGTATGTGTGTGTGTCTTTGTGTGTGTGTGTGTCTGTGTCTGTGTGTGTGTTCAACCCTTTGTGCTTCGTTGACTCCCTATTTTCTCTCTCTCCCTTTACCCCACTCTCCCTCCCTCAGACATCCCAGCAGTGGCGGGCGGTGAGTTCCAGGAGTTCCAGCATGAGATGAGTTCTAAGTGTAACATGTTTCCCGACCCCTCTGCCTTCAGCGTTAGTGCAGAAGACATGTCCCTCCCCTTTGGCATCCCCCGTACCTCCAGCAATGCCAAGTCCAAACGCCCCTCCGTCTCCTTCGCCGAAGGCACCAGGTAACACCAGGTCGCAGTCATCACGATGAGGACATTGAACACTACACACACCACACGACACTACCCAGCACTTCAATTCTCTTTTTAAATTGCCTCTTAAAGTTATATTTATTGTAATTGTCTTGTGTTTGTTTTTAATGTTGAGAGTATGTCAAATTAATTTCCCCTTGGGGATTAATAAAGTACCATCTCACCTCATCCCAGGTTCAGCCCCAAGGAGCGCCGAGGCTCTGCCCAGGACCTGACACCCGGGGCCCCCCGCACCAAACCCAAGTCCCCCTGGGGGGTCTTGATGCTGTCAGCCCTCCAGGCCCAGGGAGGGAAGGCCTCAGAGGGGGAAGAGACGGAGAAAGGTGAGGGGGGGGTGGATGGATGTGGAGGTGGGACTGGACCATTGGAAGACCCAGGATCCAGTGGTGAAGCAGGGGACCCCGATGTGGACAGGTACACGGCCACCCCGTCCCAAGCCATGTCTACCCTGCAGGTGCCTGGAGCAGTGGTAGGGCGAAGATGCACCATATCCAATGCCGCTGTTACCAGAAAGGGCGGGCAAACACCAGGGTCCACATCCGATGGCCAGCAGGCAGAGATAGATAAAGGGATGGACAAGGTGACCACAGTGTACGTGACAGTGGGAAAGGCGGGGGTGGGGAGGCCCCTGTCTAAACTAGAGCTCCCCAGCTCAGAGGGCCCGGTCCAGGCCATGCTACGCAGGCTAGGCAGTCTCCAGAGACACAAAGACCAGGAAGGGGGAACTAAGCCCAAGGGGAAGAGCCCGGGGGCAGAGGGGATCACCAAGCCACCCAGGAGGAAGCTGGGGGCCAGGGCCAGTGTGTGGGAGCAGGGGGGTCCCCCACCCTTGGGGGTGGGGGGTCCTGTAGGGGAAGGCGTACCTATGAGGAAACCCAGTAGGAGGAAACAGCACGCCCACCACAGTTCGCCTGCTGTCATGGGAAACACTGACGCTGGCACTAACACTCACCCCCCACCAGAGGGCGGCTCTGCCACAGTTACGTCTACGAGGCCCCTGTCCTCCATTTTGAAAAGCGTGCCAGAGATCGCTGGGTCAGAGGTCAGGGGTGAAAGGTCAGGGGTGAGGGGAGAGAACGGCGACCCTGGGATGCAGACTGAGACTGAAAGTGGATATCTAACAGTCGGGCCAGCTGGAGTTAGTCTGAGTGAAGTCATCGCCAATGAAGGAGTGGTGGTCGGTGTGGACGATGGACCTAACCTATATGAGAACGTGAAGATTATGCATTCCTAACTTCAGATGCAATGACTGTGGTGCTCTGTCTCCGCTCACAATTGAGTATGTAGTTTGACTACTAATGAATGAGGAATTTGAAAACTAGCTTACTGTACTGAAGTTGACAGTTGAGTCTGACATGAACTAACTTTACAATATTGAGTATGCAATTTTATGAATTACAATATGTATATGATGGTTCTGTACAATGTGTACTGTATGTAGGTATATCATACAACAATACGATAATGTTGAAATCGCCTTACCAAATAGTAATCGACACTGTAACTGCCATGTGTGAAACAACTATGCAAATTAAAACAAAAAATGCATGCTCCGATCTGTGCACTTTGTTCACTTTGGCTTGTCTGTCATCACTAGGCTAAGCTGCTAACGTTAGCCATCAAGCTAACGAAGTTAGTCCCAGATAAGTTTTCCAATGGAGCCCTCTTTGTCTGGAGAAGTAAATGAACGGTTCCAGCGCTGTAGGAACTGTATCTACTATGCTTTGTTTCGGGACAAACTGGATCACTCAGAGTTCCAATGCGGCAATTGTTTTCTTGCCGAGGATTATAGGCTTGAGAGGATTATAGGCTTGAGGTGGCTTCCTTGATCACGCAGGTAGCCAGCCTACGTAAGAAACTGGGAGAAATGCAGAGTGGAATGTTTACATTTTCTACGCCGATGGCTGGACGGCATTCACGCATGTTGGATGCATCTCCGTCTTGTCGTTTGTTGTTATCCGACTGGCCGGTGTTGCCCGGAGTTCGTTTGCCAGGGGAGCCATCTCCTGCCTCTCCTCCCCCATCTGATAGCGGAGTCGAAGGAGCACAGCAAGAGGAGCATGGCAATCAACGATGGTCGCAAGTCACGAGCCGTGGAAGCCAAAGACAGTGGCCTCCCGCAAAGCAGTCTACACTCCCAACAAGAGGCCTGGAGTGGATACAAACAACGAATAGTTTCGCCGCCCTGGAGCCTGATCTTCCTGCACCTTCATTGCTGGGGGTACCTGTGTCTGCAGCCACTGTGCCTACTCCTACTCCTTCCCCTACGAATTCGAAGTCGACGTCGGCAACCTTCCATCCCCGTGCTGGATCGAGCGGGGCTTCTCCATCTGTCGGAGGCCTGCACCTGCCTGTGAAGCATGGGAATGGGCGGATTTCCTCGTCCTTCTCGCCAGCCGTGATTTTGGGCAGCTCCATGGTAAGAAATGTGACTGTTCCTGGTGTAAAAACAATGTCCTATCCCAGAGCTCGAGTAAATTACATTACTAAGCTGCTCCCGAATGTACTACACCAGGACATGGACATTGATTCTATCGTAATCCATGTGGGTTTTAATTACATTATGAAGGGCAGCTCTGATCAGTTGAAACTGGATTTCAAAGAGCTGATTGACTCTCTGCTAAACACTAATAAATGACCCATCATATCTGGCCCTGTGCCCTCTCTGAATCGTGGCATTGAATGCTTTAGCAGGATTATTTCTCTTCACAACTGGTTACGTGATTATTGCAGCTCAATGGGTGTAACTTTTGTTGACAATTTCAATACCTTTTGGAAACAAAACACATTTTATAAGGAGGACGGGATCTACCCAAATCATTTGGGTTCCTGGATCCTTTCACAGCATTATAAGGCTGCTTTGAGACAATGACTTATCAAGCCCAGCTCAGTTAATCCCTACCATTGTGTCGATGAGTCATCATAATGCTTTAGCAAATGTACATTATACCAGGGGCATTTGGAACAATTTAAGAAACCTAATTTATGTCCCTCTAACTGCCCTGAATGCCTCTGCTGATCCTACAGCTATTGTATGCAGCAATCATGTGCCTATGAACCAGATTTATGCTGTTAGCACTTAGGTGGTGTGCCCTAGTAGGAAGTCCACTGTGTGCAGCTCACCCTGCACTAACATAAATAACATGAGAATATCTACTTCTGCTAAGCTTCCCAGTAAAGCAGTGAAAACAAGCAAGCATCCCAGAAAAGTGCTCAAAATAGCCCACGTTAACATATGTAGCTTAAGAAACAAGGTTCATGAAATTAATAACTTGCTAGTAACAGATGACATTCATATTCTGAATATCTCTGAAACTCAGACAATACCTTTGATGATACAGTGGTAGCAATACAAGGTTATAACATTTACAGAAAAGATAGAAATGCCAGTGGTGGAGGTGTTGCTGTTTATATTCAGAACCACATTCCTGTAAAGATTAGAGAGGATCTCATGTTAAATACTGTTGAAGTAATATGGCTTCAGGTTCATCTGCCTCACCTAAAGCCCATTCTGGTGGGAAGCTGCTATAGACCATCAATAACTAACAGTCAGTATCTGGATAACATGTGTGAAATGCTTGATAATGTACAGTTGAAGTCGGAAGTTTACAAACACTTAGCTTGGAGTCATTAAAACTCGTTTTTCAACCACTCCACACATTTCTTGATAACAAACTATAGTTTTGGCAAGTCGGTTAGGACATCTACTTTGTGCATGACACCAGTAATTTTTCCACCAATTGATTACAGAAAGTATTCACCCCCCTTGGCATTTTTCCTATTTTGTTGCCTTACAACCTGGAATTTAAATTGATTTTTTGGGGGGTTGAATCATTTGATTTACACAACATGCCTACCACTTTGAAGATGCAAAATATTTTTTGGGGTGAAACAAACAAGAAATAAGACCCCAAAAAAGAAAAATTTGAGCATTCATAACTATTCCAAAGTCAATGCTTTGTAGAGCCACCCTTTGCAGCAATTACAACTGCAAGTCTCTTGGGATATGTCTCTATAAGCATGGCACATCTAGCCACTGGGATTTATGCCCATTCTTCAAGGCAAAACTGCTCCAGCTCCTTCAAGTTGGATGGGTTCCGCTGGTGTACAGCAATCTTTAAGTCATACGACAGATTCTCAATTGGATTGAGGTCTGGGCTTTGACTAGGCCATTCCAAGACATTTAAATGTTTCCCCTTAAACCACTCAAGTGTTGCTTTAGCAGTATGCTTAGGGTTGTTGTCCTGCTGGAAGGTGAACCTCCGTCCCATTCTCAAATCTCTGGAAGACTGAAACAGGTTTCCTTCAAGAATTTCCCTGTATTTAGCGCCATCCATCATTCCTTCAATTCTGACCAGTTTCCCAGTTCCTGCCGATGAAAAACATCCCCACAGCATGATGCTGCCACCACCATGCTTTACTGTGGGGATGGTGTTCTTGGGGTGTTGGGTTTGCGCCAGACATAGCGTTTTCCTTGATGGCCAAAAAGCTCAATTTTAGTCTCATCTGACCAGAGTACCTTCTTCCATATGTTTGGAGAGTCTCCCACATGCCTTTTGGCGAAAACCAAACGTGTTTGCTTATTTTCTTCTTCAAGCAATGGCTTTTTTCTGGCCACTCTTCCGTAAAGCCCAGCTCTGTGGAGTGTACGGCTTAAAGTAGTCCTATGGACAGATACTCCAATCTCCGCTGTGGAGCTTTGTTGCCTCTGATTAATGCCCTCCTTGCCTGGTCCGTGAGATTTGGTGGGCGGCCCTCTCTTGGCAGGTTTGTTGTGGTGCCATATTCTTTCAATTTTTTAATAATGGATTTAATGGTACTCCATGGGATGTTCAAAGTTTCTGATATTTTTTTATAACCCAACCCTGATCTGTACTTCTACACAACTTTGTCCCTGACCTGTTTGGAGAGCTCCTTGGTCTTCATGGTGCCGCTTGCTCGGTGGTGCCCCTTGCTTAGTGGTGTTGCAGACTCTGGGGCATTTCAGAACAGGTGTATATATACTGAGATCATGTGACACTTAGATTGCACACAGGTGGACTTTATTTAACTAATTATGTGACTTCTGAAGGTAATTGGTTGCACCAGATCTTATTTAGGGGCTTCATAGCAAAGGGGGTGAATACATACAGTGGGGGAAAAAAGTATTTAGTCAGCCACCAATTGTGCATGTTCTCCCACTTAAAAAGATGAGAGAGGCCTGTACTTTTCATCATAGGTACACGTCAACTATAACAGACAAATTGAGAAAATAAATTCCAGAAAATCACACTGTAGGATTTTTAATGAATTGATTTGCAAATTATGGTGGAAAATAAGTATTTGGTCAATAACAAAAGTTTCTCAATACTTTGTTATATACCCTTTGTTGGCAATGACACAGGTCAAACGTTTTCTGTAAGTCTTCACAAGGTATTCACACACTGTTGCTGCTATTTTGGCCCATTCCTCCATGCAGATCTCCTCTAGAGCAGTGATGTTTTGGGGCTGTCGCTGGGCAACACGGACTTTCAGCTCCCTCCAAAGATATTCTATGGGGTTGAGATCTGGAGACTGCCTAGGCCACTCCAGGACCTTGAAATGCTTCTTATGAAGCCACTCCTTCGTTGCCCGGCGGTTTTGTTTGGGATCATTGTCATGCTGAAAGACCCAGCCACGTTTCATCTTCAATGCCCTTGCTGATGGAAGGAGGTTTTCACTCAAAATCTCACGATACATGGCCCCATTCATTCTTTCCTTTACACGGATCAGTCGACCTGGTCCCTTTGCAGAAAAACAGCCCCAAAGCATGATGTTTCCACCCCCATGCTTCACAGTAGGTATGGTGTTCTTTGGATGCCACTCAGCATTCTTTGTCCTCCAAACACGACGAGTTGAGTTTTTACCAAAAAGTTCTATTTTGGATTCATCTGACCATTTGACATTCTCCTAATCCTCTTCTGGATCATCCAAATGCACTCTAGCAAACTTCAGACGGGCCTGGCTTAAGCAGGGGGACACGTCTGGCACTGCAGGATTTGAGTCCCTGGCGGCGTAGTGTGTTACTGATGGTAGGCTTTGTTACTTTGGTCCCAGCTCTCTGCAGGTCATTCACTAGGTCCCCCTGTGTGGTTCTGGGATTTTTGCTCACCGTTCTTGTGATCATTTTGACCCCACGGGGTGAGATCTTGCGTGGAGCCCCAGATCGAGGGAGATTATCAGTGGCCTTGTATGTCTTCCATTTCCTAATAA